AACAAAAACAATATTATAGTAACACAATGTTGACAAGAATACTGTCATAGGTCATACTAGATGTGTTAACTGTCAAAATATTATATTACAGAATCTTTTGAAATTTTATGCATTTATACTTAGAAAAGGTTTTACTATATTTGTTTTTGATATTAAACACACCCGTATATAGTTTTAGTTAAAAAATTATACTTAAACTATCAATAAAAACACAAGTTAGAGTGTGAATGCCGCTAATACTTAAGTTTATTATAAAAAATTACTTATAGTGTAATATTGTTCATTAAATCTACACTTTTTTATTCATCGAAATATATTGTAGAATTTATATTTGATAATCTAAAATTATTGAACTATTTTATTATTAAGTGAAAGAGCAAATTAAACTTAGTTAAAATGAGTTTATGTTTTTGTACTCTTAACGAGCTATTTAGTAACTTGAACATTTTTTTCGTAAATCAATAAAGTAAGAAAACAAATTTGATTATAAACAATGACAAATTACCGAGAATGACAAACTAAATTTGATTTAATTTATATAAAAATATTCACAAAATAATTTCATACTATTTATTTATAAAATACTGATGTACGTATTGTATATACATTGCAGATGTTGAATTAACTAAATGTGGAATTAATAGACTATAATATAATAATGAGTTTATGTTATTTAAAACATTTTTTTGAAGTGCAATTATGTAAATACTTAAATCTAAAATTATTGTTATGGCAAAATATTAAGTTTTATTACTTTTTAAGTCAACAAAAAATGTTAATACATATATCAAGGGCGAGGTTTCTTGAAAATAATTGCTATTAAATTATAAATTAATACTAAATTAAATTTTTATATAAGTAATTTCTAAAATTCTAACTTCATTAAAAATATTTCTTATAGCTTAATGCTATGCGGTTTTTAATCACCTTTTCTAATTAAAATATATTTTACGGTAAAATACAATCATATGACAAATCATAATAATTTACATAATCATATATAGTTTTTAATATTACAAAAATAAAAAAATTCACATAACTAGAACAATAAATCGTTTGTTGTTATATTAAAAGGATTATTTGAGGTTACTACACCTTAACATAGAATAATTGAAAAATATTTAATCCTGCAGGATTTATTCTGTGGGAATAATTAATGGTTTTAATTGTTTTGTTAATTTAATGTTTCTGTTCATTTTAAACATGACATTTTTATTTGTCCTTCCTTAATTCAACTTAAACAAATATATTTAGTACCTACGTCCGCAGCAGTTGTTTATACCTTTTATTTCATGACCCATTTGTAACTCTCAACATGTTGTCAAAATCAGAAGTGAATTGGACCGCTAGTATAACGTAAATCATTCCGTCGGACCTTTGCTTATAGATGGATTTATTTTATTAGACCACAAATTAAAAACAAAAATCCAATTCAGTTCAATTCCAACGATAATGTCGTTAAAAAATGATTATTAAGCCAAAATTAAAAAATTACATTAATAAATTATATGAAAATTAATGAAATCAATTAAATTTAAATTTAAATTTGTGGGTAAAAGTAATTGAATAAAAAAAGAAAAACAATAAACATTTTATGCAAAATATAAACAAAATTTTTACCACAGATTGTTGTAAGATTATTTAAAAAACCTAAAAACTTATCCAAAGCTTAATTTAATATAATAGAATAGTGGCTTATACATTAACCAATAATCTAATGTTTTAAAAGATTTCTTGAATTCAGCAGCAAGGTACTTCAATTGGAATTAAGAACAATGAATGAAAATAAAGTAAATGACTACCAAACAATCGATCAATCCGATTTGTGTGTTTAAATATATTAAGTACAGTAAAAATCTTTAAAGAATTATTACTGTAAAAGTTTATACCAAAATAAAATCACTAGTTTTAATTAAATTTATTAAAATTTAAATATTAAATAAATAACTATAAAATTTAGTAAAATAATAAAAACAAGTCATTTTTAGTCGAAAAATGTTTTTCATACAATTATCTATAAACTTATAAAAGTAACTTTAATGATGGCAAATAAATTATTTAATATTTTAATATATTGATTAATTAATATGAATTTCGAATAATTTTTTTATTTGTCTTATTTATACTAAAATCCTTATATAGAATGATATTTCAAGTCAATTTCTAATTTCTAATTTTTATGTTAACTATTATTTTTTTTTATATTCACCATGACTAAAATTTACCGGACGAATTTAAATAATATTATTAGATCTAATATTAAGAACAAAATAGTTACTTAGTTTCAAACTAAATAATTTATAAAATAAGAACTCCTATTAAAATATACATAAAAATATCATCGGAATCAAATTTCATTGAAAAGGGTTAAAGCAAACAAGTGATCATGTGTAAAACATGTCTTGATTACATAATAATGATTGAAACAATTACTCTACTGTAAAAAATGAAAACCTTCGAGAATTCATTGAAATATATTAAATATAAGAATGTAAAAGCATTTTTAATAATTTATTCAAAATGTACAATAGAACACTATTTAAATTCAAAAAATTGTCAAAATAATTTATTTTATGCTCGAAATTTAAAATATATCAATTAAAGAGAATATTGCGAATATTTTAACTTTTGGATAATGTAACTTTAATCATAGTTTATGAAAATATATAATTGATTGGTTGTTAATCATTTCTTTTAAAACAATAAGAGTTTTTTTATTTATTTATATAGTATTTATTTCTCAAATTTTAAATTAAAAGTATACAGGGTAATCTGGTAAAACACTCATTTTTTCAGAAAATATTGAGAATTTTAAATTTTAATAAAGAGAAAAAATATCAAGTTCAAAAAACTCTACAATAATACGTAGTCAAACCATTATTTTTTTCGTCCCTTCAAGGATAAAAACCCTTATTTATAATTTTCTTAAATGGGAACCCTTATTTTTAACTTCATAATATAATAGAAAGAAAAATTACAAACAATTTTGTTCTTATAATTTTTTTTATCCGATTAACCGTTCGTCCGTTACAGCTTGTTAAAATAAGTGATTTTAGGCCAAATTTCTATTGTTATTTTACTGTATTAAATACAGAAGTCATTATTAGCTTCGATGCGAAGCTGAGAAGGTATTGGTTTTACTATGATGTGTGTTTTTTTTTTGTGTTTGTTACCACTTTTTCTCAGCTCTCACCGAACGGATTTCTTTCAACGATACATCAAAAAATCACAAATCGTATATAGTCGAAGACATTACCCTTCAAAATTGAAAAAATTTCCCTCGTTCCCCGTAAATGGGGGAAACCTCCAAAAAAATTACAAATTTAAAAATCGCTAATTTTCGAAATTTTTTCAATTTTTTTTACTAAAAACTGCCGTAACTTTTTCAAAAATGAACATATCAATATAATTTTTTTTTATATAGATGCTTGATGTCTTTACCTATCATTTGGTATATTTTTTTTGTAAATTTGACCTTTTTTCTGCCCACAGGGGGGGATTTAAAATGACAACTTTTTCACAAAAAATTAACTTTTTCAACTTAACTTTTGAAAATGTTCCGGAAGGTCTGACACTTTTATATATATCTTAAATTAAAGCTAATGTAATGTACTTTAATTTGAAAAAAAAAAATTTGACCTCTGGACTTGTCTTCATGGTGAAAACGGCTACCGAATGCTATTTTTGTGTGAAAATTTTCGATTTTATAATTTACATTTTTTACTTTAAAGTGCTATAACTTTTTAAAAAATGTATGGATCAATACAATTTTTTCATGAGAAGTAGTATTTATATACATCTTTCATTGGATATACTTTTTTTTTAAATCAGACTATTTCCCTATATATGGGGGGGCTTCAAATATAAAAAATGCATATAGAAAGTAGAACTTTTTCAACTTAACTTTTGAAAGTGTTCCGGAAGGTCTGACACTTTTATATATATCTTAAATTAAAGATAATGTAATATACTTTAATATGAAAAAAAAAAAATTTGACCTCTAGACTTGTCTTCACGGCGAAAATGGCTACCGAATGCTATTTTCGTGTGAAAATTCTCGATTTTATTATTTATATTATATTTAACTTTATAATGCTATAACTTATTGAAAAGTTTATGGATCCACACAATTTTTTTATGAGAAATAATATTTTTTAATAAACCCTTTTTCATTCGACATACTTTATCTTAATCGAGATATTAAAAAAGTGAAAATAATTATATTATTCTTAATTTTTCTATCATTTATACTGCTTCCCTTATATTAAGTTCTTTGTAATTATTAACGTTTTTAATTAGTTTTATAGTTTTAATGGAGTAATTATGTATAAAATGTTAAGGCACAGAATATTTATCAACTTCTAAATTTTTAAAATATTTTAAGTGTTCTTTAAACTTGATTCCTATATTTTTTTCCCTACGTAACATTATTACAAATTACTAAGATGTTACTAATTTTCGAATAACTAGTTCAAAAATTGTTATTGACAAGTCATGTTTTTGGTTGGATCATTTACTATTGTGTATTAACTAGTTAAATATGCATCTTGACATTTAAAAAATAGAATTCGTACTTTTATAAGGGATAGGTATAAAAAATATTTTTTATTTTTTAAGAAAATTAGGTTTTTTAGAAATTTATTTTTCAATAAACATCAATTTTTCCAATTTTTTGAAGATAATAAAAAAAAACTTATTTTTAGAAAATATCTAATGTTTCTTGGAAATTTTCTGCTTTTTTTATTCCTTATACCAACTCTTGAAATTAATGTATAGGTATTTGCTTATTAAATTTAATTATTTTGCTAATCTCGAATATCAAGTTTAAGCCAGAGAAATCTATCAGTATGATTCAATCAATGTTGATATTAACTAGTAGGTGGCAGTACTTGAATGTACTGTAAAAATGTTTTTTGGCTTAGTTCAAAGTTTTACCACAAAAGCGTTAACGTATTTAAGTTCTATAACTCGACTATTCTGCACACGTGTTTCAGTTTAAATCCGTTTTTAGTCGTTGTCGGTCAATGTTTGAAACATGATCAATAAATGTTTGACGAAATGTAATTGTTCACTGCGCCTTTTATTTAAATTTTCTTTAAATGAAAAATTATTATGCTTTAATTTGGCTATATAATAAGTGTTAACAATTATTTATTAAGAACATAGTTAACAATGTTACTCATGTTCTATTCTATATTTTAATATTATTAACAGTATTCTTAATAAACCATCTCAGGTACGTTTTTTAAAGTACAAATATATTTTTAATTAAGGTTGAGAAAGGACTTAACACATTTAAAAATAAAAATAAGATAATACCTAAGATCTTAGATAATATTATTATTGAAATATTTAAATTTGAATAGGAAGTAAAATTTATGTTTAATAGACAGATTAATTTTCTTTAGCGTCATAATTTTCTTAAGGAAATTAATTTTTTGTAAAGTTAAATTTAAAAACAATAGAAAAATCATAAAAATTGATTGTTAATAATTCACTATGGTATTTTCTTGATCAATGGTACTACCATAAATTTTATTCAGGAGATTAATTATTTTTTTTATTAATATTTGATAATATTACCAAAAAAATTGTTATCACTAACCATTTCAGTTACTCTTAAAATAAATACAATGTTGAAAAAACAATCCAAACATATATTATATTATTTGATATATCAGCTATTCATTAGCTTTTAGAATCATCTCTTATGAATTATAGAAACATCAAGTTAAGTTTTTTAAAAGGTAACATACATATTGAACTAGCTTATAAAATATAAAATGATCTAATTAAGGAAATCAATAGTCGGCAACAACTTTTGGACTAGTATTTCAGAAGTAATTTTCATTTTTGTACCTGTGTAAAAGGAAGAGAATAACCGAGAAATATCTAATGATATAAATAGCAACACCTCCATTCATTATTTTTAATTGTTAAAAACTTCTGAAATACGGGTCCAAGAGTTGTTATCGATTAGCTATTTTCTTAATTAGATCATTACTGATAAATCAAAAAATATAAGTAACTAAATAAAATGTAAAGATTTTTTTTCACCCTGCATTATCATGATTTTCATTTATTATTTTAATAAATGTGTATAAATTTTTATTCTATTTCTATATTACAAAATAATAAATGACAGCCAAGTTCGCGATTTTTAAACTGAATCATGATTGAAACAAAATAATTGTTCTGTAAATAGACATTTTTCAATTGTATTTCCACATAAAACTATTTAGCATAGGTTTGGTTGTAATTATTTAATAAATATAAGATTAAACATTCAAATTTTTGTTTAATTTTCCCAATAAAGTATTTATATAATTGAGCATAATATACTGCAATTTGTTTTATTTTATTATCTTGTTTGCTTGGAAAGAACTGAATTATTTTGTTTTTTACGTTTCAAATAATAAATTTTGTTCAGGGAATAATTTTCTCAATGTATAGTAGTATATATTTAATTATTAGTTTCTCGACTGTTAGATAGATGATGCGTAAGACTAAATTTAAAATTTTTGCATGATACATTTTTAAATAAACAAAAATATTTATATAATTTTATATTTATTAAAAATTTAAATTCCCATGATTGATTTTAATAACATAAAATAAGAAACTTTTTCTTTGTTTATTTTTTAAAAATTATGTTCTAAGCTAAATGTAAAAAATAAAATCAAAAGTTATAAATAAAATTGATCCTATTTAAACAACAAATAAGTCAAAACAACTTTTCTATATTTAGTTTGAAAAAAATTAAGTTATTTATCATAACTGTCAAGTTCGTGTCCCCCAAGTTTCCTTTGCCAAGTCATTTTCTATACTGAACTATAGTAGTTTTTAGCTACCAAACTTGATTTACTTACTACAGCTATGATACATTTTATAGACAATGGTACTTTTTTTCTTTGCTCGGGAAACCCAGAAATGTAATTTAACATCCTGGCGATAAAAAACAGAGGAACAACGCACTATAGACAATGAAGGGTATTGGGGGTTTATAGGGTAATATTGTGCACTGTCGCTAAGTAATATCCTTACTTTTGTCCTATAGTGGTCTTGTAGATAAAAATAAATTTGCATTTTTAATGTTCATTACCATATCAATCTTCCTACATAGTACAGACCATTGTGAGTTTGTACGAGTATACCAGTAGTCGTATTATTAATGTTTGACCGATAAAAACAAGTGTTTTGCAGCATAAAGTTACATGACATTAACAACATGAATCAAATAAAATTGACTTGCCGCCTACTTGTAATATTCGTTTATTTCTTTTCTTTCTAGTTATTTTTTTATACGACCTTAAATAAATTTGTTAGCTCTTTGTAAATTGAAAATCGTATTAATCTAATCATTTTAATTCAAATGTTAATACACTTATTTTCCTCTGACTTTGTAAATACTGTAATAATTACAGTATATCGGTTAATGTAATTCAATAAGAGATGTTGAATCCCATTCATAAAAAGTATTTCAATTCCAGTTAAATTTATTAATTTATAAACATATTTAAATTTCGTTAATCTAATTGAGCTGTATGTTATTGACGTGAATAGGCCAGGAAATTCCATCAATTTCACTCTTATTTCTCTTGAAATCCGATAACCTCTTACGAGCAAGTATACAATACTCAAACTTTTAAAAATATTATGAACCACTAGAAAATGTTTTAGTAAAAATAAACACATATAACAAACAAAACTGCGTGAGGTTAATAACTATGGGCAGTGTACATGAAATCAAAAAGATAGACAAATTTTACACGATCCTCTAGTAAATACGGTTAAAAATAAAATTATTAATGTCCTAAATAAACACTCTTTGAAAAAATATCACGTTTGGCTCTGAAATGTCATCTAAAGGAAAGCATTGTGTACATTACTAAAAACAAGAACAAATTTTTGTATTTTTCAACTTCTATTTGATATTATATCATAATTACATATCAATAATCGTTGTGTTGTCATAGCATATTTTTCTATGAAAAAATTCCGATTTGAATATTCAGTTGTCTTTACATTCTAAATATCGTCATTCGTTTCTCATTTTTAGCACAGTCAGTGCGATCATTTCGAATTGTAAGAAGCTCGATTTAATTCATAAAATTAACAGCAACAATCGATTTTTTTATATAACTGTATATTTACTGAACTTCGAAAGTTAAATCTAAACTCTAAACTTAAACCTTAAATCTACACATACGGAAAATTTTAATCAACGCCATACATATTGGTAATGTAAAAAACGATTTGCTCGAATAATATTATTCAGCCGGAAGATTTTTTCAACCAAAAGTCTCATTGAAAATCAAATTCCATAGAAATTCCGTGGAGGTAAAAACCTTTGGTGAAATAGCCTCGTGTTGGCTTGTGCATTGTAGTAAACCTACAAATTAGAGTTATCCCGTTGCTCTCCATTAAAACCTCGTGCCGTCACTTGACACATGACAAATGGGGTCCTTTACGTGTGGTAGGTATACCGTTTCACAGATTATTTCAGTTGAGCTGGCAATAACACTTGTTTGCGGTCTCACAGCTTACAACACATCAGCCCCGCATTTTCACTAGTTGTTCTTTTCTTTACCGCAGTTTTCTAAAATGTACTTTCCGAATCTATTCGATACTATCGTTTATTAAAATACAAAAGATTTCCGAAAACCTTTTCAATAACATCATTTGGCCTCTTTGATCGCAAACGTTTGATTCTCTTAAAAGAATCGTACCTAAGTCCTATTTATACTTTCTATCTGTCATATTAACTTTAGTTTTGTAGGTAATGCAGATAAACGCACTTTTTTGTTTTGTTCTTATTTTTTTTAATATAGAATCGATAAAAAAAACTGGGGTTCTATTCTAGGAAAAGAGATACAGATGCTATTGAAGACTCCCTCAAATACGTCCATGTTTCTCTATTAAATATAAATGCATATTATGTTTAAAACTGTGCTTGATTCAGTTGAACAGTTTGGGTATGATGTTCATAACTTACATCTTTGTCAGCGTCAAAAGCAATTTCAATAAAAATTCGGTATTCGAAGAAAAATTAAATGTTCAATCGAGTATTTTAAGCTACAACGCAGAAAATCTTTGTATATAGAAATTTTATGCTAAAAAAGTTCAGTTGTTTACGATTCTGTGATGCTATGCTACGCCAACGTCTTTAATCAGACATATATTTAAGTTCTTATAAAACGTATTTAATTAGATTTTGTTTATTGATCAAGTCAATTGTCAAGAGCAAAGCTTAAAGAAATTAAGTAGCATTAACTAAAGAGATTTTTATTTCGTATATTTTTTAAATTAGACGAAAAACATTAAGTAATCGATTTTAATTGGTAATTTCTCGGATTTTCAAATTTATTGCAGGAATTTATTACTCAATTAGATGAATTTGTTAATAAAAAAACAATATTTAAATCAAATTAATTGACATTTATGTTTTCTTTTGAAATTAATAATTTATATTTATCTAAAATTCTATATATTTGCCACTATAAATTTATCCATAAAATAGCTGAACTTCATTGAAATTTACTCAGATAAAATAAAAAAAACAATAATTTATAGAGTACTTTAGGACAAGGACTAAATATAATTGAAATTTTATAAATGCTGGTTTAAGTGGGCTATTGTATATACTAAATAGTGTACTTACTTCAGTAGCAATTTCGGACCCCTATAAAACATAATGATGTTGGCAGGTTTATGATAGGCACCTAGTTAATTCAATGTTTCAGGTACTACTATAATTGCATTTTGAAAGTAGGTGATAGGGGTTCGCAAAAATAGACCTAAATAAAGAATTATACAATTGAGTAATTTAGTTATAAACATCAGGGCTATATGATAACGTGACTGTAGATGAAAATACATAAACGTTGGAGTTAGGAAAAAATTGTTTTTTTCAACCACGTAGTAATATTGACATTTAATCAGGCGCAGAACACATACATTTGGTCAATAACAAATTGGCGATGAATAACAAGATAAATAGTTGTGCCGATTTTAATAACATGGCGTTCGTTGATTTTGGTGTCGAGTGAATTAAGCTATAAAAAACGGGTGCGCGAACGTGGCGACCACCTTTAGGTTTTGGTGGTGCAGTCGGTGGCGGAGATTCCGGTGACATTGGCCAAAGGTCTCACACGTCCACTATGAAGTTGGTGTCCCGTCTCAGAGGTATGGATAACCGCGACAGTCAACGGCCTCCACCACCAACCACGTTGCCAGGCGGCCGCCGACTTAGCGTAGCAGCTACACCGCCGTTACCGGTGTCTTCCACTTACGTATCCGCTCGGGATAGGTCCAGGTCATTATGCGTTGAACGCCTTGGCCTGGCTACTCTGCTTCATCCAGCCGCAATACCCGTCAAAGAATTAAACCGACGAAGAGCCTCGTCTGCACTGTGAGTACTTCTATATAAATACTCATAAATGCACTTTCTAATATTAAAATCAACTTTAACAATATACTGCGATATGGTTACAAAGCAATGGCATATTTAAGATGGGAACAAAACGAAATCCAATCAAACCACACGCCTAAAAGCACCGTGCCTTTTTTTAGTCAACTACGCTAGTCTTAAATAAAAAAAAAATTCACTTTTCATAGAAAATCTCTTATATTTGAAATAAATTAACATTTTTTGCCAAAATAAAAAGTAAAAAATAAGTTATTTTAAAAGACAGTTTTTTAAATAAATGTGTAGTATTAATGATTTAAGAAAAAACTTAAGTCTAAATTAAATGAAAAAATTCTAAATTTTTAATTTAAGCAGGTATATAATTTTTGACTCACTTCATATACTTGAAACATATAAGAATAAATACTTAATTTCTAGTCAGGTTTTTTTAGTAGTATGAAAAACACACAATCTTTTTTTGTGTATTTACTTAATTTATTACCAAGCTTGTAAATTGATATAGTTGTAAAACATTTGTTTTTTATTTTTAACTTGACCAGAGTAAACTTTTAAAATTTCATCTGTAATTTAATTTTAGTGCAGTTTCAAATATTTTTCTTTTCAATATTGAAAATATTTTTATTGATAAATTCAATCATAAAGAGTTATATTTAAATTAAATTAAAACAACATGTTTAACTTTTTAAAGAAACACGATTAAAATTTAAATCTATTATATTAACTTTTTTTTTTTATATATATTTGCATTCTTTAGAGTTTTGCATTACTTGGTTGGTAAATATTTTTTAGTATTAAGGAAGTAATAATAATATTTTAAGAAGTTTTATTTGAAAAACTTCAAGTAACATAATTGTAGTGATGATAGTAGTTTTAAAGTTTAGAAGTTGGTTCTTAACTTATTAGTTTTAATGTGTGGCCTAAAAAACGAAATTTTTGTAAACATTTTATCACAATAACACGGATAAAACATTTTATCAATAAGTTGTCCACAGCGCTTTAATTTACGAGACAAAGTTTTTTATAATCGCCTAATTAAATGAATAATTTTCTTATAGTGGTTCAGTATTTATTATACCTTTGTCTGTTATCGTCATTAATCTATGCACTGATTTTTAGCGTTTGTGCTAAATGCTACATGTGGTTATTACTAAAACAAATCTCTAGAAATTAAGCACTTTGTACAGAATTTCAGACACGAATAACAAAAATCATTAATTATGATAAGGATATGACTTGATATTAATGTCCTCATCACAATTTATGCATATGAAAATTTTTCTTTTTCAATTTTTTTTATCAAATTTTAAGTTATTAAATATTATACGTCTTGTGATACAATAATGTAGTCTACACTGACTTAAATGCTAAAGGCAACATATAAAAATAATGTACTATTTTGAAGTTGAAAACCATTTTTACATAAAATATTTTGAAAGTCATTAAAGTTATATATAAGACAGTAGTTAAGTTTTGAATAATGATTATTTATTATTGTCAAATATTTCTCATAAGATAATTCATTCTTATGCATAAAAATATTCTTAATTTCTTGAAAAATAGTCAAAAATTGTTATCTATTTATAATTTTTTTTAAATTAGAATATATTTAAATATATACGTAAGTAACATATATTATCATATAAACAAAATTAAGTCTTTTTTCAAATAAGATATGATTATAAAATATGTAGAGTTTAGCTCAATAAAGAATTATAGGAGACATACAAAATTTGAAAAATTATTCTCAAATTTGTTTTTACTATGTCAGTGATTTGGGTAATTCGTGATAACAAAAGCATTTTGCATACATTTAGGTATATTTTAAGTAACTCATAATAACATACCACCTAATACTTACAGTACGTGTCAAGCACTTAAAATATTTTTTACTATCAAGCTGAGTAAATATGTTGTAATTATTTACGTACAGTTAGTATTTTTAATTTTCGTGCGTAACACGACAAAGTATTAAATAAGAATTATTAAAAAATATATAATTTTTTGTCTTATTAAATTAGATTTAATAAATCTTATTGAAGATTTTAAGTCCTTTCATGTTTACAAGATGTGTTTTACAAAGTTACTCGCAAGCCTGTTTAAAAATAGGTATGTTATTATAAGCACCAGTAGAGTGAATAGCATTAAAGAAAAAAGAAATATGAATATTTAACTAAGTGGAAATTGTTCCTATTGAAAAGGACATGGATTAAAACTCAAAATTAAATCAAATTTATTTGGTATATAAGTGTTTTGAAAACTGGAACATAAAGCCACTACTGCCTTTTTATCATTGCTCCCTTTAAAAATAAATGAGATTAAAAATTCTCTTGACGATAAAATAGTCAGTTAATTGCAATTAAAATTCAAAAGAAGAGATTATTATTTGAAATACTCAACCGAAGCAAATGATCAAGTATCAAAAATAATTCAAAATGTATTACATTAAAGTTTAATGTTTATTAATAATGAAAAGATTTACTCAAAAATATTTATTCTCTAGATATTATAAATATATTAAGTATGAAACGTTAGTTGCTTGAAAATGAGTTATTAACCTAAAATTGATTAATAAAAAATAGTTGAAAAAAAAGTTTATTTATTTAAAAACTACGATGAACCACAGCGTAGCGAGCGATCATTTTTGAAAGGGGGGGGGGCCATCTTATATTTTCCAATGAATAAAATATTGCCCATTCGCCCCTGGCAATAGCTATTCCTTGTGTAGCGTATAAAAATTTACTTATAAAACATTTCTATAATAATATTTATAGGACTATAAGTATTTCATGAGTTAATATGAGTATAGTACCATCCATAGTTATGACCCCCTTCATAAATATGTGGTAAAGATATATTTTGGAAAATTTAAAATTGTAAGAACGTAAAATTTTCTTTTATACAAATTCCCTCAAGATAAAACTCCGAAAACACCATTGTTTTTTGGTTAATAAATACGGTCTAGTTACCGAAAATTCAAATCATTAAATTTATAAATCACGTACCTAGACCAAAAAATGTTTTTTATTTTATTTCATTAAAAAGAAACACAAATATTCTGGTGAATGAGTTTTTATATTACTGCAGATTTTTAATTTACAAATTTTTTTTTATCTGGTGTGCAATTTCAGTTTATACTATTTCCACATATTACTTCAATGAATGTGAAATGTGTGTAACTAAAAATACAAAATGAAAAATATTTCTACCCTTATGAACTGGTCTAAAAAAGTTTTAATCTTCAATTGAGATCAATTTTTATTATACATAAAAATAAACATAGATATTATTGCATTAGTACTTTTACAAATGAAATTAGTACTTGAAAGATTTTCTCGAATAATAAAAAGTGCTACGTGATAAATTTAGTCTTCTGTTTTATTTTTCATTTTTTTATGATAAAAATATAATTCAGTTTTTTATACTACACAATTTATGATCAGGTTAATTAAACAACTTTTTTTTAATTCTAGTTTATAATACTGTTTAATTTGTGTTTTAGAATTTAATAAATAAACTTGTTTTATAGAGAATAACAGCTTGTGACATAATATAAATGACGGCCCATAGCTGTCATAATTTACATTTATTTTTGCTATTTTTTGTTAAACTTGTAACGTAACTGTTTTCAATTTTTTTTATCAGTCTCAATAGAATAGCAGCATAGCGCTACATATATAGGCAACAAATTATTTAATTTAAATATCAACGTAATACAAAAATTTCATGCCATAACCATAATTACTGTCGGTTTCCTCTAGATATCTAATTTTCCTGAATATGACGTCCCTTCATGAAATTTTATTTTTAGTAAAATTCAATTTGTCTGAAGTGTTGTTAAATAATATATAAGTACAACAGTTAGCATATATTGAACGTATCTTGAAGTAGTCGTAAAAACAAGTCTATAGACGTATTTTGTTAGTGTCTAGACAATATGTAACTCATTGTATCGTGAACGATACAAAATAATATATTTATTATACAATAGCAAAACTTCAATTAATAAAATCAGTTCTCTTGGGAATGTAGATGGAATTAGTTTAGACAAATCTATAAAACTATTTTCGACTCCCTAAATTTATTTTGTTATCATAGTTTCATGTGTCTTATGTCAATTGTCAAATGAATACAAAAATAACAAATAAAAATGATATCCAATGGAGTTTTATTTTTAGTATCTATGCTACGGTTTACTTCTTAAATTTTTTAGATCCAAAATGTTATTTTTAATTAAAACGACAAAAAATCTAATTTTTAATTTTATGTAACCTTATGACAGGGTAATAAATGATATACAGAGAAATGTATTTTATGACTTCAATTTTAAATTTTAGAAAAAAAATTGCTTTGATTTTACTGCTTTCATTATTTAGCATTTTTTGTTGCTGGAAGCATTATTTCAACAAATTTAAATTTAAAAAAGTTCAGTACTGCAGGAATCCAATAAAATGAGATTAAGACATTTTTAGATTAAAATAGTTAATAAAATAACTGTCGTAAAATCTTTGTTGCATATTTGAAACATATAAAAAATATTTAATATATCTTCCAAAAATTACATAATATTAGACTTAAGTTGATCATTCAAAGAAAATAAGTTATCGAAACATTTTTGTTTTTTTATTATATAAAAAAGGTTTAAATTTAAATAATTTAGAATAATTAAAGCATTTCGTTACTATGCAATATATTATAAAATCTTTTAATCTTACCAATAGTTGTGTGATTTTTAGATTTAATGTCCAAAAAAATCGAGATTTTATATAATTTTTTTTTTATTATAAAATAAATTTTATTAGCTTAAATTTGGTGGCCAATATAGTTTGAAAAAAGTACGTTTTCCCAAACATTATCAAAGTTGAATATAACATTATTTTACTATGTTCCCTCTCAGTATTTTGGTAAATAAAAGGATTTTCAAAAAAATATTTTGAAAATAATGAACTCGTCTTAAATTTTACCACTGAATATTTTATTGATTT